TCTGACATCGCCTTAGCATGGCCCTCCCCGCGGCGCTATCGCGCGGCACGCCCACCGACTGGCTAACCACTCGCCGCAGGTCTCTAGCCGTTTAGCAGAGAGAGCGTTAGCGTTGAAAGAGGGCAGCACCGATGAGAGTCGCATCAATGCGGAAATCAACGGGCAAGGAAGGGGTCCATTTTTCGGTTCTGAGGCCGTTTCTCATGATTTTTTCTTCATCCCAACACCATAGACCTCTACCTTAATTCTTATAGACTACCTTAAACTCCGCCTTCGAAGACATTCCTCGAATGAGAGCACACCTGATTCCTTAGCTTACACTCGCCTGGTCAGGTTAACACTGACAAAAACACATACCAGTAAAGGAAAGGACATTACTTAGAAAGGACTGTTAAAGTTTCAAACGTACTTCCAGCAAAAGCTTGAGCGCATTCACATAAGACACATCTGTTTCGTAGATCTCAATGCAGACCTGATGAGATCTTGATAACTTCACGGTTTTTGCGATATTGCCTGAATAATCGTAGCTAATATGGTATACATAAGAAAAAAACGGGTGCACTTCTAAATGTCTCAAAATTGATTATGCAGAGCTTTCGTCATCATTATATTATAGATAGAACCAGTAGCGTGTGGACCTCTTTCACCGACCCACTGAACAATCTCGAACTGGACAGCTTAGAAATCGCCTCCAAAAAGCCTTATTATCCGCTTTTGAACAGCGTAGTTAAAAGCTCTTCTCGTCTTTTGAAAGGGAGTATACTTCATATTATTCACAAACGACTGTTGTGGGATAAAAATACATAACCAACGGAACGCACTGACGGCTTTAGTTCACCTGTTTAGATGCACACATTAACGTGCGCGTCACATAGCTACTAAGGTGTGATTCACTTACAAAATCATAAAGACAAAAATTGCGATAGAACGGATGTGCATGAAAAAGAAGATGGAAAGCGGGAGGGACATCAAGTAGACGATAGGTGGCGCTATCGCTATGGAAGGCGCGCTATCAATGGAGTGGTAAGGTCTCGAAAGCCCCTCTAATTCTCAGAAACGCCCACCGCTGACACGTGGAGGTGTGATAGCGGTAACGTATTTAAAGGCAAAGTTCGGGCTCAGACCCACTTAATGAGCCTTTACGGTGGCTAGAAGCGCTAGGTACGCAAGTGTAGAGGTCGCGTCACTTCCCTACTTCGAAAAGCGTTATTTAGACGCTAGGCGCTAAGAACTTTGACACGCTCCACCTGTTGCGACACGCTCCGCCCACCGCTCGATATCTTGTCTGCGTCGCTAACTTGATCTGCTATGCTCTCTCTACTCGACTTCTCTAGCGCTCTCCGCGCTCATCTCTCATCTCCCTGCCGGCCTTTTGAACTTCTCCGCAGCGTAGAGCAAAAGGCTCGTATTTCCTGTGTATTTCACGATTTTTTCTTTTTTCTCCACTGGCGGTCCACTCCTACCCCTACTTTCACATTTGAGTGGAATTACCTCATAATTTAATCCTGAATCTTGCCTTTAAAGCGAACCATTACCGTCATCGTTCAAGTTTGTCCTCGAAGTGCAGTGGTGCACCGAGCCTCAAACCAGCAACCACCTAATGATTGGCGCTGGCATGATGCCAACGCCTACCTTTACCCAAACGACATCTATAGCAGTTGACTGGCCATTTTCTTAAATGAATCGGTCAGATCAACAGGGTCCCGTTTCTCAACTTTTCCTGTTTTTTTTAAACGCGCCACTTGTCACCTCTACTTCATATTTCAACCTATCTACGTTTCGCGACAGCTGACTTTCATTCGCGTCTCCCCACAATGCGGTCGAGTCCTCGTGCTAGGCCTGCATCTCAAAAACCGATCATTTCGATTGAAAATGTATGAACCCGTCTTCCAAGAGTCTCGCGAGTTTTACGCGCGACTGACTCAGTAGTGCGATCCATTATTTCGTCTTGCGATGGCGCAAAACTTGACCTCCAATCGTTCGATTCTTAACGCCTCTGAGCTTATTGTTAGTCTACTCGTCTTCCATTACCGTCTTGTCCATGAACAACCTTTCGAAATCAAAATCGATTGCTCAAAACGAAGACTTGACACTCCGCGTCTCTCACACCGTGAACATTTTCCGGCGCTGCGCAACCCACTTCCGTCAGGGCTCGTGTTCCGTTTCTGAGCATTCGTGATGGCGACAACTGCAATGATTAGCGAGATTCAATCAGTGGCGGCAGAGGTAGTGCCGCATTGCCTCACTGACAGGGTTCAATGCATATTGCAGACTGCGCTCATTCAAACGAGAGCTATGAGCTACCCTCTATTTCGGAAGACGAGAGAACGTCGAGTGCAGACCACACACCAAAGTGACGACGGCCAGAAAAAAGCTTCTTTTTTCTTGGTCCGTCGTCACTTGTGGTGTGTGGTCTGCACTCGACGCTCTTCTCGTCTTCCGAAATGGAGGGTGTGCGTCGGGTGGGCACGCCGATATTTGAATACCGTAAGCGCGAAGTGTACATGGAGTGAGCTATGACATCAGGGAACGCTGTGGGAATCCATAGACTGAGCATTGGAGGAACGGAGTCTCTCCCTCTTCATAGGGCCTATCTGTCGATCAATAGCGTGTATTCTAAATACCCAGCGAAAAATAACATCAAAGAGGGAAAAAGCAACTGAAGGAAAAGTGATTATCGATCCCCACAGCGTCTCATGCCATCATAGCAGTCCTCACCACTTCCCCACGTACATTTCGCGCCTACCGTATCCAAAAAACCGGCGTACCCACCCTGCTGACTTAGCACCGAGTAATTTGTTTCCATAGGAGTTTTTGTGATGAAGAAAGAACATGAGGATCTCCTCAGGTACCATTGGTGGCCATATGCTTAACACGTTGACGACAGGCTGACGCGCAAGCGCGTCAGAACTTTTGCACCGCATCGGACATTCTGACGCGCATGCGCGTCAGAACTATGTTGTTCATTTTTAAGTGCTTGCGCTCCTTCTTCTCGAGTTTTTTGCATTCATTTTATAGATAATACATTAGCATAACTATAAACCACATGGCTGCTAGAGTGCTCAAATATCCCTTGATTTAGCAAAGATTTTCTGAACGCACAAAACTTTCATTTCAATTCTTTCCTAGTATTCCTTTCACTGTCGTAACATTTCATATGTACCATTGTAGAAACAGGTAACACAAGACTTTGTAAGTCTCAAAATATTTGTATTTGATGGAAGAACTTGCTTGGAAATGCTTTTAACTTTATTCGCAACGAAAGTGATGTTTTTTTTTGCTTCTTCGTGGTCATTATGCGTTCTTCTAAACAAAAATCTACTGCCATTTATACAGTTTAGCTATAGTTAACCTTTGTGCTTTCATCCTTGCCGAAATAATTGTGTGATATTCAATTTTTTGTACATTTTAAACAAGAAATAAGCGGAAGTAAGGTGCGGACGGCGCGCTCGCAAAACTGCTCGTGTCCCACGCGGTGCAAAATGCCAAAACACGCGATGTCGTCAACGTGTTAAACAAAAAATTACTTGCTATTATGGTATGAGAAGCAAAAGCTAGGAGAGCGCCACAGGTAACCTGTAGGGTCATTCGTATAAGCAAAACATCGTGTTCTATATAGAAGCAATACATATTGCCAAGAAAGCCCCGCGTCGTACGAAAAATGAACATACACATTTGAAGAATCATGATGGGACTGAGATATTTCAGTTATTTCAAGGTAATCGCTCAAATAATTCCGGAAGCAACTAACTCAGCAATTGAACGACAACAAGAGAAGTGCAATGGGAACAATTTCCTCGTGAATAAAACTACCTTCTGAGCATACTCGGTCGGTTATTGAGAAAGAGCGTGTCTCATGAATTTGACCAGAATCTGATGGACTGGCTTTGATACGTTCAACGGAATACGTATCCTCATTGGCGCAGTACTGGATATTTATACTTGTCCACACCCACTGCAAAACAGCTATGAGGACAGGAACGGATAGGCCATTGATAACATACCTCGTTTGTAACAAATCGTTGACCAGCAGAGAATCCCAAGTTGTCTAAATCTCGTAGTGAATTCACAACACAGTGCGTAGCTTTGGAGGAAGTATCGACAATAAAACCCCCTGCAACAAACTCAACGTTAAAATACTATCAGTCCTGCTGAAGAGCAGTGAAATACACTGATACATGATATCCAAAAAGAGCACATCGGAAAAATGATCTCTAGATCTCATTTCTATGCGGACCTGACTGGAGACAGCATCAATTTAGGGGAACTTTGAACAACTAGATGTAGAACATTTCAATTCCTTGTACCCCAGTGTTACGGTCGAACTTAACGGGCGCCGTATTCTGTCACACACCCGCTAGAACTCAGGATAACGCTCGACTACCCCCGCCCTGACATACCGCACGCCCAAGATGAGAGAAAAGGAGAAAAACAATTAACCACACCGAGAAAACTCGCGCGCAAAAATTTTCTGTGCTGGTTCACCCCCCCACCCCCAGCGGTGGGTCGTCTCCTCGATGCTCGCACCCCATCAACGTTAACCTCTCCTATTCAGAGCGCTAGAGTCAGCCAGTGGACGGTCAGCCCAATCGGCAGAGCGAAGCGAAGGCAGGTCGCCCCACACCCCCGCCCTTGATAGGCCAGCGTGTAGGTTCTCTTTGCTGCAAATCGCTCAACAGACAGCACCCTCCAGGGGGTCGCCTCATCCCTCCACTACGAATAATTCCCCTTCCTCGATCTCCGCCTTTTAGTAAGATCCTCCTTTAAGAGAGGGAACGGGCCACCTATCGAGCTTTCTGCCAATAAACATCTCACTAGGCTATTCCAAGTTGTATAGAACTCGAAGAACCCTCCGAGAGGCCACACAATGAAAGTGATTGATCTAGGTGAATCAAAAATTCAACGAACGATTGTCGGCAATATGCTTCTTGATATCCTCCTCCTCCGCTTGACTGAAGCCATGTACGAAAACTCGGAGATTCTCGAAGACGCCGATTCGGTGTTTGGCTTATCTGCACAGAATAGATTAGATATTAGAAAGGAGTTTTGCACTTATTGGAACTGCTTCTGAATTTTTTGGTATTAAAAATTTTCCAAACTCAGAAAGTTCTGAAAAATAGATAGAAAGATTCACCACTTTTCATCCAAAGGAACGAACGCCTCATCGTTTGCGATGCTCCCAACACTCTAGCAGCCATGAGGGAAGTACAACGCTCTGACCAAGAGCCACGAGCTGCTAAAATCAAGCGTCTGACCGATCACATAAATAAACACACTACTACATACATTCGAGTATATTGGGCATTTGAGTACACTCGCATGTGTGATTGTATATACACACATTGTGGTACATTCACCATGTAAATATAGCATACATTATACGAAGTTATACGATAAAAAAATTAAAAATCCTAATAAAAAAATTAACTTAGGGTAGGGGTTTACGGACTACTTGATTTTTCCTCAATGGTCCTGCCGCGATGGCTAGAGCACAGACGATTAGAGAACGGGTGAATGCCCTAGGACTAAGCCTTGGAGAGGAGAGGGACCCGCGAGAGAGCGGTTTAAAGGGCTGAGTTCAAGTAGTCCGCGATGACCCCAAGGCTCATGACCATCCCATGATGCAATATGGCTACAGGAAGCAAAAAGCGTATGGCGACGCGGTTCCTGAAGGGCTGAAACAACGCAAAGGCCACCACAAGTAAGCGAACTATGGACGCATAAGCAATGTTATCACACAGGAAATCACAAAAATTTGTGGCATAAAAAAGTCTTCATCTGATTGAGTTCAAAAAAGGCCTCGAAATTCCAGGTTATCAAGCTCTGAGACAGTAAACAAACATATCGAATAAGCTATGATAGTGAATAGTAGCCATGATTGGGTAGATCCTCTGAATACGATTACGCATAGCAGAATTTCATGAATTGAATGCCAGAATCAGCATATTTCTGTATTCCATGTTCAGATACTTCATTATGTCACCATGGTTAGCACCCTGAACTGCAAAGACAATATTGGATTGGAACTACTCACCCTAACGCCCTTACCCTTCGCTTGAGTTGTTATGAGCAAGCTGGTAGTTGCGTCCGGCTGTAACCGCAGAAATATTATACCGTACAGAGTGGTTAAGGGAAAAGAATGAGCCGCAAAAGACGTACCTCTCTTTTAACATGACCGGACATATAACGTATTAACTTTGCCCAAATTCGTCTAGAGTTTTCTTCTCCACTTCCAATGACCACACTGACATTGCGAAGCATTTCGTTGTAAATGGGACGCTTCGGACGAGGATAAGGCAAATTCTGAAAAATCTGCTGTACAAGCTGAGAAGCGGAAGCTAAAAGGTTTAAATCACAAACCAGTTCTTGTCGGCGTCTTGTTTAACTACCGCCGTACCTAGTACAGGCGAAGCAGGCGACACACTAATGAAATTCTTGAACACTTCGTTTTCGAAGTCTTCAAATAGGAACACCATGTCCTTATCATCGCGAAACTCTGTACCGAAACTACTGCAGGTGACATCGCAACCATAATACTTCTATAAGCAAACCAAAAGTAATACGAATGAAAACTTTACAACAGACACATAAGGGCAGAAGAAAAGAGAGTAACGGCATGCCCAATATTCACTTCCAAAATTTTACGATAAATATACCTATAACCATATCGTCCACCACAGAGATACTACGGTGTTCCGGAATACTCTTGTTGGCAATGAAATAGAATTTTTCTATACGACTTATTTTTCGATATGTCAGTAATAGATATTACCGTCCCCATTGCCAGAAATCGTGCAACAGTGCACCTAATGAAGGAACCCGAACGATGTCGGTAACGATTTCATTTCAGATACAGTTCTGTCATCATCCTTTCCGCGTGCCGGCGGTGGGCATGTCTGGGTGATTGGAGGAGCTTTTGAGGCATAAGTGAATTTTATTTTACCAATGCTCTTTGACAACGACAATCTACAACGACAGCGATATCTATGGTCTACTTGAACTCTGCTCCACCTTCCCCACTACGTTTCCTTTGAATAAGCGCTTAATCACAAACTTGCTCTCAAAGGAAGATTCCGCGACGAACTGGAGGTCGAAGAAGGGAGGCACACGCTTCTTGAATAGGGGACTATATCCTATCTTCTTCCAGGGAGACGCGTCCCCCGTTACTGATCCTATCCTTGGTTGGGGGAGACAGAGTAGGACTAGCCCTACTAGGCGTTTCTCCAGACCCCTCAGAGAAAACAGTGCGTCAACAAAGGAGGGTAACTACAACATTACGCGCTCAATGGCGGGTACTATGACGCAACGTTGCCTCCCCATACATCCCCGTCGCCACAGGACAGAATCAGCGGAGGGAGTGGATGCGTTACTCTGGGGGAGATTAGGATACGGGTCAGAAAGGCGGGCCCTAAGGGTGCGGGGCGATGCGTGTTTTGCTGCAAAGGAAGCGTTCCTAGTGGCCTAGCATGGCCGTACCGACGACACTCGCGGCTCTCGACACCACCGCCAAAAAATTAGTCGTGGGAGAAGACAGACACGATGGATTGCTAAACATATAAAAAAACAGTAGGAAGCGGAAATAGATGATCTTAACAACATGCACTTGATTTACAATACAATTTCGCATTACAGACCTGCGTGGATTCGGGAGACAAAAGATACATGGTTGCAAGTGAGCGTACAGGGCCAGAAACAAAAACGTGGGATTCGCCAGGAAAATGCCCTGTCCATTTGAAGATCTACGTAGCGGTCATGCTCCGCGACTGTCTAACACTTCGCTTGCAGCTCGCGCTTCTGTCCTACTTGCCACCTCAATACAGGAAGCCCCATGCATGAGATGTCGGTCAGACTCTGCGATTGCATCGCGCGATGCAGTCGCTCTTGCAATGTGCACAAGCGACGGGCGGGCCCGCCCACATCGATGCAGTCGACATCGGTATCATCGATCGCGGCGGGCCATTGCCCGCCGCTTGCACTTTTGGCAGACGACTGCATCCGCGCGAGCATCGCGGTGGACAACCGATGGAGTGATCGCGTCGCTCCGGCACTGGTCCATCGCGATGCAATCGCAGAGTCTGACCGACATCTGACCGCGACCTATGGAACATGCTCGAATGACGTGGACGGAGCTCACCTCCTCCCACCCGTCTCCAAAATAGACGAAATTTGTCGGAGAACGACCCTACGTGCCATAAAAATAGATAGTGGGATATCAACAAGATAGACTTCACTGACAATGAGAACAGTGTTGAGACGACGACTTGAGTTAGTTATGTGGAAATCAAGTCAAAAAATGAATCTTTTGACCTGGAACAACGGCATCGGGAAGAAGATTACTTGGTAGAATGGGTTAGAGGCATCAGAAAAGCGAAAACTGCGAAGAGATGTTAGGAATACAAATACATCCAACTAAGGTAGAACGGTCCTTCACAAAGTAATTCAGCAACAACATGTGTAAGAAAGCACTGATGCAGCACCCAGAGACTTTCAAGCTACTCCCAGAAAGATCACGAGCAAACCTAACAAGAGTCGATTAAGGACTTCCTGACTGACAGCCCGGACTACTGCGTATTTCTGCTTTATGATTCCGATTCGCAGATACGGAAAGCTCAGGACGAATGTAGTGTTGTACACCCCACTCCAAAAGGCTGTCAGGCGAACTAAAAAACGAACTAAACGAACAGCGAAATTTACATTGCAAACGGCGGCTTTTTGTCACTCTTGGCTTCGATCGACTAGAACTTGAAAACAACCAAACGCTTTGTCGGCCTTATGTGAAAAGTTCGCAAAGTAGCGACCGGGTGCACAACCGTTGCATTATGTCAGAAAGGGTCGGTAGGTCCTAGAGTGAAGTTGGTAGGGTGCGACCATAAAAAATGCCGTCTTCATTAAGTTGATGAGTCGTGAGTTGAAGTCCATGAGTGTGGCAAGTGTCTACTTCACATAAAGCATGGGAAACAAACAAAACAAAACAAAAAAAATACATGGAATATGGCAACGTCTGTGTACAATGACCAAGCGGAAAAAAATACCTCGAGCATTTCTAGCACAGTATGATCCGAGAAAGCGACGGCACAGATCTTCTCAACTTTCTTCTTCTTTACAAACTCTTCTGACCCAACTCCACTCATCTCTGGTAGACGAATCTGCGATTGAAAAGGTCTGCGATTATAAAATCGAAATCGAATTCGAAAACTTTCCGCAGTAAGACGCACCTAACGAACGACAAAAAAAAGCTCAAGTTTGCATAAAAGCATATTTCAAAGAAATGTGGATGCAAATTCAATGTCAATTATCCAGTATTAATAACAAAATACATGACTGCAGTTTTGAAACGGACTACATCCGAAGATTTTACGTAAAAATATGCTTTCCCGGCACGTGCAACTGCGTACTCAGCGCGATTACGTACCCCGCGTGACCCAACCTGGAGAGGAGACTCGCGATAGTGAATTTTGATTTTCTCTAATTGATTCCTTCTTTTGAGCTTTCCATCGCTTTGCACTTTTTCTTCTCATGGTGAACGTATGAGTCGTCATCGATACTGGAAGGTGGGAGTGTGTTTCCAATAGATGTGGATGGACTTCGCCCGACATTCAACGGTGCGCCGAGAATTACCGTCCAAACTCGTCAGGTTTTTAGGTTCAGACGAGAAGCAAGATCTCCGAGCTTACGGCTTCCCGCAGTTACGTTTCCCAGCAGAAATGGGACCAGACGACCCTCTGATTGTGGTTGTTTTGTGGGAACTCAATCGTCCCGGAAGTCACTGTGGTATTCTTCCCACTCCCCATGACTTCGGCTGGCTTGCTCACGATGGTTCCTTTGCCGCACTTGACACTCTTACCACCCCTATATCTTGAGTAGCTCGGTGCCGAGCATTAACTAGTCTGCAGACGAACTCACTGCATTTCTGCTTCCAGCTTTCGTTGCGGCGTTCATTGCGGTGTTTCTTCGCTGGCGACGGCAGCCTTAGGCAGCCTTTTGCACTCATGTAGAAACAGCGGAGGTCCTCTGAACTCCGCGTCTTCCGGTGGCTGATTATGCTTCAAATCCAAAATAAGCTCCACAGCTGGTGAGCCTCCGTGTAGTGAAAGACAAAACAACTATCCAGAACTGGTGTCAGAGTCCGCGATCCGTCACGCGATTCGCGCGAATCGCAAAAATCGCATAAGTTGCTAGAGCCTCATCTGAGCATTTGAAACACTGAATATGAAACAAGTAGAATCATGTACAGCCGACATTCAACCATCACCATCAAGCAGAAAAGGCGGCAGAATTGGAGAACACCTCGCAGTATTGATCGGAGCACTAGTAATTTCTATACTCCGTCCGCGAAAAACGCATGCCGGGATCGCGGACTCTAACACTCGAGCTTATAACGAAGAAAGCGCGGACGAGGGTGGAAAAAGCTGCAGTAAAAGCCCCCCCAAAAGGCCGTCTCACGCTCTTCGTCGGCCGTGTCAGTGGAAATATTGTATAAAGATGATCGTAGGGGCGAATTCCACTCGCCATGCTTGACGCTTTCGGGAAGCGTCAAGGCTTGTGGTTCATCTTCCAAATCATTTGAATTTTACAATTCACTCTTTCTATAATGTCCTGCGCCTTGCTAGGCCCTGAATAAGACAACACTGCGGCCAGATGAATGCTGCTCTGATTCTTGTCTGTAAGCTTATTTGCTAGGCTTTACCTCAGATGCCTGACGGAGCGCATGTGTCCCACAAAGCTTGTTAAATTAGTCTTCAAGGTGAAATACTGTCCTTCCGTTGTTCAAGCGAGCTCTAATGCAAGTACGCTGATCAATGTGTTGCTTCTGAGAATATCCAGAGATCATGTCCAATATTTTCTAGACATGGTAATTCTCGTAAGTTTCTTGTAATGGTTATGCCTGATATACAAATACAGATGCTTGCATATTTTTGTATATCAGGCAATAATCCCGGCATGTCATGTCCAAGGTCAGTTACCGAGCATCATTATGGATGCTGCATCTGATGTGTCTGAAAAATTCTGGGTTCGGATGACGACCTGAAACCGGTGAGCGGATATCCTGATAGTTTGGATGCCAAGAGTTGAGGTGGAAAGTTTGATACTCTGACATGTTTGACACAGAAGAAGAAAGCGAACGTGAGACAGCAGCCTCAGACTCACAAGGGAAGGATACCAGGTCGAAGTGGCCATTTGTAACGAGACATACACCACTAGATGTGTTTTTGGACGCTGATCTCGAATCTGCTCTCCAAATCTGCGGAACGAACGTAGTTATGAAGCGAGATAGTGCAGCGGCCAGGCCAACGGCAAAGAGGTCGTGAGATCGACTTCTTGGCGAGTTCGCGTTTTACTTTTTTTGTGGACATTGTTAAACAGCTTTTATCAATGCTAAGCTATCAGTGCTGCCTATAACTAGAAGTGGAAATAGCTAGCCGTGGAGCTTCGATACTGTGCGCACCGCAAAATGACGGCCCCTCAGAGTCAACCCTGCGTTGCGCAGTTCGCAACGGCACGTTGAGAGATCCTCAACGCACGCTGTATGGGCGGAGACACAGACGGCTCGAGCATGCGAGTGTGAATGTTCGCGCGAGAGAACGTGTCTAATCGGGCGAAACTGCGCAACGTGGCCGTTGAGAACTGCGCAACGCAGGGTTGACTCTGCTTCCCGTGGCGCACAAGTCAGGCAACTTCGTGCCGAACGGAGGTAGTATTCGTAATCATCACGTCAAACTACCTTTTTCGACAATTTTGGATCAGAATCTAAAATTTTGTCCGGACGTTGGAAATGTAGGCACTCACATTCATCCATCAAGTCTGGTCATGGGATGGAATTTAAATTGCAATTGTGCTAGTGAAAAGGAATATACTGGTCTGTTTTACCTGCTTGCGTTATCCGAAGATTTTCGTCATATTTTTTCAAGTACACGATCGCTGTCGTCGATGGAAGCACAGCAGTGGGGTCATGGCTAGGGATAAGACCAACGACTGAATGTTGGCCGACTTTTCGAATTCGGGTCCAAATGTGAGTCTTCAAGTTAGCCTTCAGAGATAGTTTGATCCGCTGAGCAAGTGTGTTCAGTTCAGCATCGGAGATGACGTCAACTTCCGTAACGTAGAAGCACCCCGACACATAAAAAAGTGGTTGGAAACATTCAGGAAGAAAACGGTTGGGACATGAAGCAAACCCCTCTAACCCTAGACGGCTTTTCTAAAATTTGTGAAGTAAATAATGGTTTTTCGTACTGGAAACGAACCACAATTTATCAGAGAGCAAGAACTCTTGTCCATCAAGATCCCAACTATGGTCTCATCAATGTTAGCCGCCAGCCTATGGGCTTTTGATGTGAAAGAACCTCCGTAACTCTATTCAGAGAATTGTACCGCATATTTGAAAGGAGGTTTTGAGAGGAGAGCAGCGTTGGAAAATATATCTGCGTGTAAAGGGATCATTAATAATCCCCTTTTGTCCTGGTAACGTTCTCTTGTCAGGGCAGCCTCATGAGCTTCCGCAGAGTGTTGCACTCGTGGTTATTAAGCTTTGATTCGGAACAGATTGGCTGATGGCTCTCGTGCAGCTTCCTTCCTCGCATCCTCACCAGTTTTCTGGTACTGACTTTGGTCAGAGGCAACATTCCTGGTTTTCTGGTGCGAATTGTAGGCATGCCCAGGTTCAAACGTGTGGTTCTTGTACATATGATTTGCGAATGTATTTGGCGCGAAATGGACGGCAGTTAGGAAAAAAGGTTGAAATTCAGAAGTAAGAGAAAGAACCCGTAGAAAATGCTCCAGGTTAAGCTCACACATCTTCGTAGTCGGCTGTGCTAAGGCAATGAGAAAGAAAGCACGGATAGAAGAGTATGGGGTGAGAGAGCGCGACAGATCAGAGGGCGTCAGGCAACAGCCTGGAAAGACCTTACTTTGCAAGGTCTTTTAGCGCTGTTGTGGGGAGATTTGCGTGCACGGGAATACCGCATCTGTTGTTCAGGGTTTTATCCTACATACCAAGGGAAGCCGTTCACACGACTTCTGCCTGGGTAGTGCCTTTGAAAGGCAGCGATTACGATAGGTTCAAAAAGGGTTTTTAGGAGATGTGGTGGTTCTCAATGGTACGCTAGTGCGAAAAATATCCTTCAAACAAACAAAAACCGCAAGACAGACGCCAATTCTTTTTGCTCATTGGTTTTCACTCATAAACAGGTAACAGCTCAGGAAGGGCGTTCGGCTGGCTAAATGCCATAAATTCACTTTTAATCGGCGTAGGGCTCCACTTGTGCCGCTGCTTGGCAACGCATCGCAGAATCACCAACTGACTTGTGGGCGGACGCTTTCAGGGGCGGAGTGTTTCCGAAGTGCTTCAGCACAGGGCCCGTTTCGTGTGAATCGCCCAACCTCGTTCCTTGGTACCAAATAAATGATTCGTTGTGGTGGATATGCTTCTCCGGGAAATCCCCTCTTTATCGTAATCGCTTTCTTCAAGTCCTCCGCGAGAGAAATACAGTGGTACATGCGAGGAGTATGTACACAAATGTCGGGATGATTTTACAAGGCCGAAGCGCTGAAGCCGAAGCCCGAGATGCGGCACTGGCCCCGCTTCACCACTGGCTCCACCCACAAATCTATGCTACTTAGCTTCGCCGCTGTTAAAAAGTGGGACTTAATTTTCGCCTTTGTCGACGGTTTCTCACCGTTTTTTCACTATTGGTCTTACATTCCACATTAATGCTGTCAGTGACAACATAAAAACACATCAGTTTGATCCCGCACTCTGCCTTTAAGGCAGATGTGTGCAGGAACAGAGGGCAACTAGCATGCTTATGGTCACCGCATCGGATATCGGGTCATATCGATTTGAGATGAGTTGAGATTATCCGAGTCAAAACTGGACAAATAAAGCACTTTTTCTTACGACCTACTAGGCGCAAGAGGGAGAGCACCTTCCAGACTAAAGCATGTTCGACCACTTATCACGGCACAAAAGTTGCTTTATGTGAAAGCTCTTATGAAATCTTTGCAACAAAGATAACGAGCTCAACAACTTCAAGATTCGCGACTCAGCCCACGGATCGCAATTACGGAGCGCCCTCTGCCAGATTGTACTAGTTTCGACTTCAAATGAACCACATCACCGCAGCTGAAACCCGCCTGATTAGGAAATTCAGCCCATTTCTCCGCAAAGACATGTCACGCGAGACCGGCTTCCAGTTTTCAATCGAAATCTGCGTGCATCTTTGAGCTCCCACTGGATGTATAATTATTCCCTCTACACTTTCACTTTCTTCATCATCGATCTTTCTAGAGAAACATATTTTTTTATTTATTGATCAAAATCACAAAATCGAAATAAATTCATGAAAAATCCATGGCCATTTTTGTGCGAAATTTTCGCCATCCCCACATATGCCTTTGTGTCGGGATGTCGTAGTGATGTTGTAGTCCCATAGGACCCTCCCGGCACTCTCTCGAAAGCGAAGCTATCGATCCTGCTCTTTCGTAGTGGAAGCCGAAATTTATCTGTCTATTTTATTCATGTCAGATACTAGTATTTTACACAATCGCTACTCATGAAGAATATTTTGCAAAATCTTCAATCCGTAGTTATAATTATAAATAACTATCGTTGGTCTTCGTTAACACAACTATCGAATCTCTAACATCCCTCATGTCTACGTAAATGCTACAGAGTTCCTTATTACTTGTCAGTATCAGGGTGGGCCACATATCGAGGAGAATCAGCTAATACGACCCACCTCACCTCCTCACCTGCCTCCAGGTGAGGTCGAAAAATTCAATTGATGTTTCATTCATTCTTGGTGAAAATTCTGAATGTTTCCTTAATCTTGAATTCGTTTAACTCCACCCCGAAAATGCTGCTAATCTCACCCAAAAAGGAGCTCCCCTATTGAGCCCGAGGACTGCCTCAGAGGAACCTCGACGTTGTTTCACCCTGGTGGCGCGAGCCACAGGTAGAGATATTCTGCTTCTTTGTCGTCTTCTGCCTTCCGCAAGAGGAATTGAGAACTACATAAAAGAGAACAATGAACTGCTGAAAAAACTGTTATATTGTTATATATTGAATGTTTTAGAAACATTTCTTCCAGTATATTTTTCTGATGAATTGTTTTGGTGAACTCTATCAAATTTATCAGAGCAAAACTCGCCCTTGAACGCCATCGATCGGAATACAAAACTCGTCGCGTTGGTAGCCCGTTATTTGTCGTGTGATGGCAAAAATATGTCCTACTTCAGCGTAGTTCTTAGCGCTAAATTAGGGGAGCACACACAACAACAAGAGATGCGCCATCCATGTGGCAATTTGAATTGGCCCACGTTCGCATCACCTGTGGCTTCATAGATTATGTATCAGTTAGTAAATCACATGGTCAGCTTGCAGCACATAGTCGACCCGTTTAGAGAATTGACGAATAAATTCTGGAGCGATCCGTGGAGAACGCGTGGTTAGTGTGAATTACAGTATTACCACATATACAGTATGACTTACAGTATTACCCAGTGATAAGCTTCAAGCTAAAACTAACAATAATATCACATATTCAGATTGTTAAAGGAGAGATTATACGGTATTCAAAGGTATACCGTACGCCATGCCTCCGGTTGGCTACCTTCGATTTCAAGTTCGTTTTTTTCTGATTCGAAAAATAAAAAAATAGATAAATAAGCAAATAAATAATATGGTGAATCAAATATAATAAAAATATTGAATTAAATGAATAAATAATGCATAATAAAGCCGTGCTAAGCTAAATTTTTTTAATAGTTTTAAAATAATTTGTATGAATCATTATATACGTTTCAATCAAAATAAGGTTTCGATGCGGTTTTGGAACGATACACGTATCAAAATTATTTTTCCATGAAACATCAGAGGAGGAACACGTAGCGTATTCCTGTGCCTAGCACTTATTGTCGTAAAACAAAAATGACTCAGTAGCCGCCAGGCAGTAAAAAGAAAACCCCAGCATGGACGAAAAATTTTAAGCTAAAAAAACCGGAAAGTGTACCAGAAATGTGTACTAACCGCCAAGGTTTTAGATCGGAGAGAGATAATTCGATTAATTTTTTTGCCAAACTTTACAACAGATAGAATGACGAGTGTATAGTGATAGAGAGTGCATGTCTAAAATATTCCAAGTTCAATAGATATGCAAGTTACATTGTACCGCGCCGTAGATTACCGTAATAGTGCATGGCCCCTCCAAATTCTACATAATTAAAGGCAAAAGTCTGGCTCAATAAGGGGGATTATGGCGATTGAAACTGAGTATAGAGATGCGAAGTGTAACGGCAGTGGAGAAAAAACCGCGAAAAACCCTCGACAAGGCCGTTAACAAAGCCCTCTTTCTCAAAAGCAATGAAGGAGGCCGGCTTGGGGAAGAGGCACGTACAAGCAAGTTTTCTGAAGATATCAGTCGTTCTATCGGTTGATACGGCTATCAACCTAGCTGATTTCACACGTTATGCCACATCCCGAGGTGGGCGGTCGTAGCGGGGCTAGGCGGCGATAGCGCATAGTACGTGCCCTGAGGCCTTATTACCGCGTCGTTTGAGATTTTGAGCATGGGAACATCTCTACGGGTGCGTAACCAAGTACAGAATGACCGAAAGGGTTGGTTAGGTCAACTAAGCCCGACCTTTGCCTTTAAGTGTGAACGAACTCAGCTCTTCAGAACGAAGTACCCAATACACAATTCGCTTTACTAAGAATTTTCAATTGTGTTATGCGGAGAGTGTTTGAATATGGGGACTGTATAGTTTTAGGTCCCCTTATTTCCGCATTTCTCCTGAAGCTCAAAGCAAATGAGCCGCTACAGGTGGCGCGATCTTGTGACTCGATCCAGATCTGTATGAGAAATTCGCGCGCAATTGCAAAGCGCACATTGTCACATGCATTATTTATGTGTTGTGTTAATGATGTAAGAGAGATTGGAAACAAGGAAATCTGAGTAATTGATTTGTGTCATGTTAACTGTGGGGTTACGTTCCTTCAGCACTCGCACACGTTTCACGTATTGTGGCCGAGTGGGATTGCTGCAAGACAATCTAAATTATAAAGAAAAATTCTCTTAAAAGTTTGAAAAAAAATAAAGAAGGAAAATAAAGCAAATAGTAGAAGCAAAAAGCAGCTAACCATTTTCATTTGGTTCACATAAAATTATTGTACCGGTGCTCAACCTTCCGCCAATTTAAACAAACGTTTTGAGTTCCACCCTAAACTTCAACT